AGGAAGGAAGGAAGGAAGGAAGGAAGGAAGGAAGGAAGGAAGGGAAATGAGGAGAAGGAAGGAAGCTGTAGTGGCACAGTGGTTAGCGTGTACTATTTCAGGTCGATTCTGCCCACAGCCAGAAAGTTCGATCTTGACCAGTTCAACGTTGACTCAGCCTTCTGTCCTTCCGAGGCCGGTAAAATGAGGACCCAGATTGTTGGGGGCCCAGAGGCTGATTCTTGAAAAAGACCCGTGAAGCGGTGCCGTTATTTTGTGCCAGCCGCGCTCCTGGATTCCTGTTGGGTTTTGTTTAAGGAAAGGGGAAGGGGGGAGAGGGAGGGAAGCCCCCCCCACCTTCCGCCATCGATTTCAATTTGTTTTGTTGTCAACTACCTGGGAAGCGTCGGGCGGCACAGAGCAATCGATCCTCCCAGCGGGGGCCCGAAAGGAAAGGGGGGGGGGAGAGAGACCACGATTTCCCACAGCCGAAGGTTGCACGTGTGTGCGGAGGGACAAATCAAGCCAATTACAGGTGGTCCTCAACTTAACGACCACCAGATTTCTGCAGCTGAGCCAGACAGAACGACTATAGGGTTAACCCCCCCCCCACACACACACCACTCAAGCAGGGGGTTGGGCTAGAAGACCTCCAAGGTCCCTTCCAACTCTTTTTTTAAAACTCCGTCGTTTAAGTTGAGTTTTGCCCCAGTTGGCGATCTTGCTGGCGACCATTGTTAAGCGAATCACCACCGTTAAAGTGAGTCATGTGGTCGTTCAAAGTGTCGGGAGGGGGGAATCACGTGACCACCGGGGGCATGGCAACAGTCGTAAAATAGGAGTCAGTTGCCCCAAGCATGGAAGTTTTAATCATGTTAATGATGGGGACGCCGTGATGGTCGTTAAGTGTGAAAAACGGCTTGTAAATCTCTTTTTTTTCCCCAGGCCGTTGCAACTATATGAATGTCGTAAGTCGAGGACTGCCTGTAAGAGGATAATTGTCAGGATTCTATGCCTGTTTTAGAGTTGCCATGAAAAGCGGGGGGAGGGAAGAAATTTGAAGGAGCAGTGTGGCGGTTTAAAACCGAAAGCGCATTCCACTCTTATCTTGCAAAGATTGTAACTAAGCTACCGGAATTTCTGTCCGGGAAAATCCCTAATTGGAGAACATGATTGATGACTCTCAGCTATGAGGGAATATTGGGTTGGAGAATATGATTTATGACATACCCGGAGGGATGGGAGGAAACAGGGTCATAGGTGATAGTAAATTACGTGTCTCAGGATCGGCTTCATACAGGTCATGAGGATATTGTCAGCTTTGGAAGCCATATTGAGACCAGATGCTCCCACGCTGCCACATTTTGAGCCTGGGATTCATGCGCCAGTTGGAATCTGATTCTGAGGGGGAGATTGAGCAGCTGACAGGGAGTGGGAGTGTGGCTCCCGTGGCTGTGGAGGAAACTGGGGAAGGGCACCGTCCGGCTGGGCATTCAGAGGAAGACCCAGGCCCACCCCTTCTGCATCCTAGGGCACGCAGGGAGGAGAGGATAAGGGAGCAACATGGTTTACGGGGGAGGAAAGGGCCCTGATCCCCTTTCATGGGCTGCAGCTGGGAAGGCTGGGCAAACTGTGCATGGCAAAGTTGCTGGAAGCAAAGCGTGCATTATCTTTGTCGAGGCTTATCTGGGTTTTGGTGTCCTCCCAACAGTGTGTGTGCCTCATTATCTTTTGGAAGTCTACAAGTTATTAACCTGGTCTGTTGTGTTAATTACTTCAGCATGGTTCCTGTTCGGTTTTTTTTTTATTTCTACTTTATCTGTATTTTGGGTTCGGACTGCATTTCTTCCCTTTGTAGACCGCTTTTTGGAAGAGTTTGATCTCCCACCGAGGATAATTGGACATTGGGGGCCAAGTTGGAGGCATGAAAGGGAATTTATTCTACTTTGGTGACTTTGTTATTTTTGTGCCATGCCCCTTTGGGTCATCACACTGGGAAGAGTGGGAGGGGGGAATTTCTGGGAGCGTATGGAGTCAGACATAACAACATTCTTTTTTCTAATTCAAGGTCATGTTATTTCTGCACCTGGGTGAGAGGACGCCTCGTGTTAGGACGGACGGTGATTGAACCATGTGATGCGATGATGGGTGGCAGGGGGTGGATTTGTAGTTTTTTTTTTACTTATTGCAAGGAAACCTGGAACTTTCACATTCGGGATTCCCCAGTTGTGCCAGTTTACTGTCCAAAATTTAATAAAAGAACTTTTTAAGAAGATGTCCGTCTCGCAGCTATTGGATGGAGCGGAGGGTTGCTGGAACGCTGACAGACAGGTTGACAGACATCTTCGAGTTTTCCTGGCGGGGGCAGGGATTGTCTGCACAGAATTTAAAAAAAGGGGAGGGGGCTGATGCCTAAACACGCCCCCCCCCCCTCAAAACCAAAGGGGGAACCCATCTCTTCCCATGAAGCAGACAGAAACTGGACTGGCATGGTGCCTGGTCACTCAGGTGGGCATTGCAGTGTAGCCCGAGGAGGTGTAAGGGGGGGGGGGAAACTCCGCCGGCTGCCCCTTCCCCAAATAACAGGCACCGGCTTGGAAGTTGGTGCAGGGATGCCACTCCGTGCCAACAGCGTGAGACAGCCATGCCTCCCTGCGGCGGGTTGCTATGGCAACAGGGGGTGGTGGTGTTTGGTTTCCTATAAATAGCCCGTCTGGCTGCTGGTCACTACCAGAGGACAAGGGTGGGTGGGTGGGTGTTGGATATATGGGGAGGGGGAGACATCGATGGAGATACTGATATCTGGTTTGGCAAAGGTGTTGCTGCAACAATGCCTACTAGAAAAAAAAATGGGTGACCGAATTATAGCGGTCAATTTGTGACAATCTTTGGAGATAGAACAATCTTCGGAAAATGATATTTACACACCTATTTATTGGCTCTCCGCTCATACAAACCACTCATATTTTCTTCACAGGGATGTTTTTATCCCACTATGAACGTATTATTAATGTGTCAGTGTTTTTTTTATTTTTTTAATATAGCTTGTAAATAGGGATGTCTACTGCTGGTCTAAGGCCGTAATAAAGTTATATTCTATATTCTTCTGGTTTGGGCAAGGTCAGCAGGAGCCGGGGATCAGACCGTGGCCTGAAAAGAGGGAGGGGGGGGGTGTTATAAAAGGAGGGAGGGCGGAGAGGATGTGACATGTCGTGCCCAGCAAACCGGTGCTTTGTCTCGACTGGATTTATCCTCATCCGCTGGAACCCAGGAAGAGTCCAAAAGGCAGAGAAAAAACGGGGTTGCAGAATGTCCCTGGGTGGTCTTGCTTTCCCCCACCCCAGATTGGGTCACACACACCCTGGATTAGGGGGCTATCTCTAAAAAGGGCTAGGGAAGACCCCCCCCCTGCCGCCCCCAGGTAGCCAGTTCCTTTTCTCAAGGAAGTGGCCCCTGCCATCAAGAGGCCCCTAAGGGTAATTGTTGAGGGGGGGGGCAGGAGAGCCCCACCCATATAACTGGGAGGGGGATCTCGGAGTCTTAGTGAACAACCAGCTAAATAGGAGCCGATGTTGTGCAGCAGCAGCCAAAAAAGCCAATGCAATCCTAAGTTGCATTAACAGAGGGATACAATCAAGATCAAGGGAGGTACTAATCCCACTCTATAAAGCCTTAGTAAGGCCACACCTAGAGTCCTGCATCCAGTTTTGGTCACCACGCTATAAAAAACATGTTGAGACTCTGGAAAAAGTGCAGAGAAGAGCAACCAGGATGATTAGAGGGCTGGAGGCTCAAACATACGATGGACGGTTGCAGGAACTGGGCCTGGCTAGTCCAGGGAAGAGAAGGACCAGGAGAGACAGGATAGCATCTTCCAATATTTGAGGGGCTGCCACAGAGAGGAGGAGGGGGGTCAAGCTATTCTCCAAGGCACCTGAAGGCCAGAGAAAGAATAATGGATGGAAACTGAACAAGGAGAGATTCAACCTGAAAATAAGGAGGAATTTCCTTGACAGTGAGAACAATCAACCCATGCAACAAAAGTTGCCTTTAGAAGTTGTGGGAGCTTCATCCCTGGAGGCTTTCAAGAAGAGACTGGACTGCCATCGGTCAGAAATGGTGTAGGGTCTCCTGCTTGGGTGTGGGGTTGGGCTGGATGACCTCCAAGGTCCCTTCCAATCTCTGATTATATGTTATTTGTCAGCCTAGGGGACGTCTGGGGGATTCTGGGAGTTGAAGTCCACAAGATTTAAGATGGCTGAGTTTGGATGGCTGGGGGATTCTGGGAGTCGAAGTCCACCAGTCTTAAAGTTCCAAGGCTGGACACCCATCTGGTATAGAGTCTCCTGCTTGAGCAGCGGGTCAGACTAGAAGATCTCCAAGGCCCCTTCCAACCCTGTCGTTCCCTTTCACTGTTTTCACACACACAACGCCACAGGAGGAATCTTCTGCTGTGGGTTACTGCCACGTAGGGCTGCCCCCCCCCCCCAGCCCCCGGGCCTCCCCCCCCCCCCCCCCCCCCCCCCCGCCCCATGGGAAGGATGCCCCAGCATGCCAGGCCAACCTGCTACTCTTCAAACTTCCGTCCTCGGAGACCGACTTGGAAGAGCCCTTGTTTTTCGACAGCCACGATTTCACTCCGTCCACGCGGTCTTCCAGCTCCGAATCGGAGTCTCCCTCACTGGGGACACAGACAAAAAGGAAGAGGAGAAATTAGAGGTGTGTATTTGCCGGCATAAAGGGCAACAGGTATCACTCTTAAGGAAGCCCAGGTAAAATGTGTCCAAATAGGACACCCAAATGTTGGAGGTGCAATCATAATCGGGGAACATACTTCCATAGGTGGTGGACGTGTCCTCATGCACAGAGATATGGCCAAAAATTAGATCATGGTTAGAGGAAATAACAAAACTGAGAGTGAAATTTAAACCAGAAATCTTCTTATTAGGAATGTTAGAACCTAACATGCACAGAAAATACCAATATTTGATGCTCCATATCATAACGGTGGCCAGAATTTCTTTCACCCAAAATTGGAAGCAGGCTACGACCCCCCGGTCCCAGAAGCCATAATTATTAATAAGATATCTCAATGCGCAGAGATGGATAGATTAACAAAACTATTGAAGGATAAAGAAGAATATTATAAAAGATGGGACGTTTGGTACGAAACGATTGATGTAATACTATAAAACCATAAAACAATAAGGTTTTCGTGTAAATAAATGCAAATAAAAATGTATATATGTATAAAATGTCTAGAATGACAAAAGAATCAAATACCGAGATGTATAACACGTTAATAGAAGATATTTACAGTGTAAACACTGCTATAGTAATGCTGTAAAGTGCGGAAATTTGTTTTTAAATGTTAAAACGTTGAATAAATAAATTAATTTTTTTTAAAAAAAGAAAGCCCAGGTAAGAAGGGTTAGTCGGTGTTCGGAAATGCCACCATCCCCGCGGCCTTCGTTTGAGGTGCCTGGTGTCCCCTCAAGGCCAAGGAAGACCAAGCGGGTCCCGATGGACGGACGGAGGGGTCGTCACGAGCCCTTTGGTTCAATCCCCCGTCATCATCAAATTTGAGGAGGGGGGAACTCATCAAATGTGCAGACGACAGCCAAGCCGACAGGACTAGCCAACGCCCCAGAAGACGAGCTCAGGGTCCAAAAAGGTCTTGTCGGATTTGAACACTGGGCCCTATCTAACAAAAGAGTGTTCTGATATTTGAGGGGCCGCCCCAAAGAACTTGGGGTCAAGCTATTCTCCAAAGCCCCTGAAGGTTATTCTGTTCTGTTCATTTCTAATTCTATTCTATTCTATTCTATTCCTTATTCTCTTCTCTTCCTCATTCTCTTTCACATTCCATTCTATTCTGTTATTTCCATATTCTATATTCTAATATTCTATTCATTTCATTTCATTCCTAATTCTATTCTATTCATTTCTAATTCTATTCAATTCTATTCTATTTGTTGCTCTGTTCTATTGTATTATATATTTCTATTCTATTCTATTCCTTATTCTCTTCTCTTCTCTTCCTCATTCCATTCTATTCTGCTATTTCCATATTCTATTCTATATTCTATATTCTATTCATTTCATTCCTAATTCTATTCTATTCATTTCTAATTCTATTCAATTCTATTCAATTCTATTCTATTCCTTATTCTCTTCTCTTCCTCATCCCATTCTATTCTGCTATTTCCATATTATATTCTATATTTTATTTTCCATTTTCTATATTTTATTTTCTATATTCTATATTCTGTTCTGTTCCACATTTGCAGGAACTGGATACGTCTGATCTAATGAAAACAAGGACTAGGGGAGACACGATAGTATTGATTGATGGGCCGGATTGATTTCTCAATCTGGACTCTTTTGCCTGACTCCAGGCAGCTCTCAACACAAGCAATATAAAAATAACGATCTACCAAACCGTAAACAGATGACGACTCTGGTTAACACACAGAAACCAAACACCCAACAGCCCCAGCCCCCTCCCTGACCCCCAAAGCCTGGAAGGGGAGTTCTCGGGGGGTTCGCAGACCGACATCGGGATGGGGAGCCCCATGCATCTCAGGGGCAGCCTCGTTCCAGAGGGGAGAGGCCACAACTCCCAGAATTCCTCAGCCAGCAAAAGCCCTGTGGACTTCAACTCCCAGAATTCCTCAGCCAGCAAAGGCCCTGTGGACTTCAACTCCCAGAATTCCTCAGCCAGCAAAGCCCTGTGGACTTCAACTCCCAGAATTCCTCAGCCAGCAAAGCCCTGTGGACTTCAACTCCCAGAATTCCTCAGCCAGCAAAGGCCCTGTGGACTTCAACTCCCAGAATTCCTCAGCCAACCCTGAGAGGTGGTCCTGTGGACACATCAACCTGCATCCAAAAGGAACAATTAAAAAAACCCAAGGGGGAAACAGACCGGCTTCAATCCAGATAAACAGAGATTAGCCCCAGACAAACAATCAATCCAACTAACCAACAATAATAGCCTAATCAAGGAAGTGGCCCCACCCAAAACCAGAAGGAGAAGCTACTGGATATGAAGAGGGAGCCAACTCCTCGCCCATCACCACTGGTGAGGTTCCTCCCTTGGAGAAGGAAAAGGGTGCAAACCAAACCCCCGAGCCCAGATAGCGCCGAGGGCCCCACAATTCAACCTTGGGCTGCCGAAATCCCCTTCTATCAGAGAGGGCATCCCTCAAATAACCAGGCCTTTCCTTTCCTTTCCTCTTTTCACTTTCTCATTGTCTTCCTTCTTTCCCTTTTTTCCTTTCTTCCCTTTCCTTCCTTGTCCTCTTTCCCCCTTTCTCATTATCCTTCTTTCCTTCTTTCCCTTCCTTCCTCCAACCCTTCCCTTCCTTCTCCTTTTTTCCTCTCCTTCCTTCCTTCCTTCCCCTACCCCTTCCTTCCTCCTCTTTTCATTTCATTTTTTTTCTTCCTCCTTTCACCTTTCCCCTTTCTTTCCCTTCCTTCCTTGTCCTCTTTCCCCCTTTCTCATTTTCCTTCTTTCTTTCCTCTTATTTCCCTTCCTCCCTCCAACCCTTCCTTTCTCTCCTTCATTCCCTCCCCTAACCCTTCCTTCCTTCCTCTCTCCCTCCCCATCATCCCATCTTTCTCATTCCAAACCCTTCTTTTCCCTTTCTCTCCCTCCTCCCCCTTCCCTCCCTCCCCTATCCCTCCCTCCCTTTCTCCTTCCTTCCTTTCCTTCCTGTTTCCCTTCCTTCCTTCTCATCTTCCTCCCTCCCTCTCCATCATCCCACCTTTCTTCCTCCCACCCTTCTTTTCCTTCTTTTCCCTTTCTCTCCTTCCTTCCTTCCCTCCCTCCCCCTCCCTTTCTCCTTCCTTCCTTTCCTTCCTGTTTCCCTTCCTTCCTTCTCATCTCCCTCCCTCTCCATCACCCCATCTCCCTCCCTCCCTCCCCTCTCTCTTTCTCCTTCTTTCTTCCTGTTCAGATTGGCCTCTCCCCCCCTTCCCAGCATCCCACCCCCCCTCCCTTCCTTCAACCAGGGATCCCACCTCCCCAGAGACCCCCCCCCCCAGCCCTGAATAACCCCTAAACAGGGATAACATCCCAACTGCTCCTCGGCAGCACAGCTCCGCTCTCCCTCCTCCTCCTCCTCCCACCTGCCCCATTAAGGCGATGGCAGGCTTGAGCGATGGGTCTGTGGTCCCTGGGTAAAGTGGAGTTTAGCAGCCACATGGCACCTCTGGATTTACGAGGACGCTGCCGTATGCGCCCAGCCAGCCTCGGCGCATGGGGCCTGATTTGTAGCCAGGCGTAAACAGCAGCCCCCCACTCCCCCCCCCCAAAAAAAATCCAGCTTAAAGCCTCTAAATTTATAAGTGCCGGTGCTCCTAGCTGTATTGATCGCCCTGAGCATGGATGCGCCGTTATGCGCGAGATTGGGGAGGGGGGGGGGTCGGGCGTCCCTCCATGTTGCAGGCCGTGTCCGTATAAATCTCCCCGCGAACACCGGGCTGTTTTATCGCCTTTGCGACGATTAGAGCCGCTAATAACTGCATCTATAGGGAAATCGGGGTGTTTATTTCTTCCCTCCGATGGGGGGGCTATAACTCCCGGCTTCCCGGGGTGGGGGTGGGGGGGGCTAAGTGGGAAAGCTTTGGGGAGGGGGGGGGTTTCCCCACCCCAGAAAAGAGGGCTCCGTGGCTACGACGTCCTCAGGGCTACGTCCTTCTTGGGTGTGTTCGCTGCGGCTGGCTAGTCCTCGGGGTACGGCCCAAAAAGGAGGCCCACCTTTCTGTCGCTCAGCGAGACGCCGCTTAAGGGAATTTAGCCCCGTTTCGTGACCCTCTCTTGCCACGGTTGTTAAGCAAACCACGCCAGGCTTAGTTAAGGGAATCCGGCTTCCCTGCGGCTTGTTAGAAAGTCGCACAAGGGTGAGCGTGGCAGCCTCCACCTCTGAGCCTCCCCGTTAAATCCGAAGCCATCAACAGGGGAGGTTTTTAAGAAGAGTCCAGAGACCGTCCCGTGCCTGAGATGCCATAAGGAGGCTGGACTAGACGACCTCCAAGGCCCCTTCCAGCTATATTCTATATTCTATTCTATTCTATATTCTTTTATATTCTATTCTATTCTATATTCTATTCTATTCTATTTTATATTCTATTCTATTTCTTTCTGAATCCTATTCTAATTCAATTCAATTCTATTCTATATTCTATTCTATTCTATTTTATTTTTTCTGAATCCTATTCTATTCTATATTCTATTCTATTCTATTCTATTCTATATTCTATTCTATTTTATTTTATATTCTATTCTATTTCTTTCTGAACCCTATTCTAATTCAATTCAATTCTATATTCTATTCTATTCTATTTTTTCTGAATCCTACCCTATTCTATATTCTATTCTATTCTGTTCTGTTCTAATCTATTTTATTCTCTATTCTATTTTATTCTATATTCTATTCTATTTTTTCTGAATTCTATTCTATTCTATTCTATTCTATTCTATTCTATTCTATTCTATTCTATTCTATTCTATTCCATTCCATTCTTATTCTATTCTCCATTCCATATTCTATTCTAT